GTCAGAAGGATCATGAGGCCCCGCTTTCAAGCTCTGTATTCATACTGAAAGTCAGGATCAAGCGAGCTTTTGCCCTTCTGCTCCACGGGTTCTCCAGGTTCTCCGGCTTCCTTCCACACAGTCCAAAATGTTGAGGTTAATTGGTGATTCTAAATTGTCCGTAGGTGTGAATGTGAGTGTGCTTGGTTGTCTGTCTCTAAGTGTAGCCCTGCGATAGACTGGTGACCTGTCCAGGGTGTCTCCTGCCTTCACCCTGAGTCAGCTGGGATAGACTCCAGCCCCCCATGACCCTAGTGAGGATTAAGCGGTGTATAGATAATGGGTGGATGTTCCAAAGTTGATGATAAAAGAGTTCATCTCTGAGGCAATTTGTTGCTTTTAATAGTCTCTAATTAGTGTTGGCGTATTTTATATTTATATCAAAACAGTTGGAAACCCAACTTTAACCAACTAAAAAAGGAGGTTTCTCTGTGTTTTCTGCTACTACTGTGTCCTGCACCTCTATGGAAACAGCAGAACAATGACTAGTAGAAAAGAGAAATCAAGAATATATTTTGTGCAGTATAACAAACTTATAATGCTATGAATCATAAGACTGTATTATGATTTAACTCAGATTTGGTTAGTTTCCCCAGAGAACCCGAACGTCACATCAGCTGATTCCTGCTGGAAAGTTGAAAATTCAACACTTGCGACTGTTTTTCTTGCGATTGTTGCAGACAATGAGCCTTTCACACCTATCTGTAGTCTTTGGATAAATGAGGTCATTACAGTCGGGCGCTTTGCTTGGATTTCTAGAAGACTGTTATTTTTGGTCGGATAAAAGGCCCGGGGGGATGTGGCAACGACATAAATGACCTCCCACTAGTGTATCAATACCTCGTTGGGGAGGTGTATCAGTATGGCCTTATTGATTTTTGCTCTAATCCTCGCTGATCAAACCTCCTCTGTTGCTAACGCCAGCTGGTAAGCTCACATTAAGCAGTGGAAGGCGACTGGACATCTTTCTGGCTCTTCTCAACCAAGAGGTGACCTGTGGGGAGTTTCAAGTATTTATTCCCAATTCATTTAAAGCTCGTCAACTAACTCAAACTCACATGACTGACGTTGTGAATCTACCTGTGGAGGGATCTCAAGACTGCATTAAGTGGTGTCACCGTTTAAAGATGGCTGTTCCAGTTCCTTCACTCCTCTGTCAAACCATCTGTCCAGAATGTGTCCTCAAAGGCGTGTCCTTTAACCTTAAGATGCAGGTGGACTGATGGGTTTTGTCTCCTTAAAGCACCTGCCACTGTGATATCTTAGAGGAGTCTTGCTGTTGGGTTGGATGCTGTTTCATCAGACTGGTGCTTCAATGATTTGCTCCTTTCAGTCTGAAACCGTCCACCAAGAACCGAACCAGCATTCAAACAGTCAGAGAGACTTTCTATCCGTTATGTCACAGAGATAGACCGTCACAGTGGACCTCTGTGCTCGAAAACTTTAGCATTTTTGCAGTTTTAAGGCGAACAAGGTCTGCCTTCTGATAATTTTCTTTTCCCTCACTGTCTCAATCTCAATTATCCGTCTTCATTCTGAACCTTTCGCTCGCTTTACACATAATGCATACAAATTATCTGACCCCACCTCCCCGAGAGGTCTGGAAATAATGACACGGAGACAAGAAGACGCCGATGATCTCTCCCTATGCTTTGTGCTATTTGAGATTTTCTACTCATCTTCAGATTTCTGAGAGAGAGAGAAAAAAAAAAAGACCATCTCTCGGGTCCTCGATGCAAAGCTGCAGGATGTATTTCATTCTGATAGATCTGCCCTTTCAGAAGAAGCATTTTTCTCTCAGTTCCTTGTGAAGCAGGACTTGAATTGCATTCACGCAGAGGTTCCCGACCCCAATTCTGTGCTGCCTAAATGACTGCCTGAGTCAATTTCTGCCAGGTGGGACTCTGAGAGCCGAGCTCATCACAATCCTCTTTGTCGGATTGCAGAACATTTCAAAAGTTAGTCAAATTACGTTTCCCTGCACTTCCTCCCATGCTCGGGTGATTCCTTTACTTGTCTGAGGAGTGACAAAAATGATATTTCTCTGCAAATCATGATGCAAAATTTACTTTTTAAAGCTGCTATAATTACCAACAGATGTGATGACTGTCTTGCCGAGGCACTTTAGCGTCTTTCAGCCCTCGGTTTTACTCTCATCGCTCCCATAAAACCAATCCCCAGAGGCGACAGGCAGCTGCTTTTAGCCTTAAAACTCTGATAAACCGACTTCCTGCCAGACAAAGTTAGCAACTCGCAGCAGAACATAACGGAGCATTTAGCACCTCGAGACGTTTCCATCAGGAGTTGGTGGAGAGCCACGGAGCTGAAAGGAGAGTAAATGACTGACTTACATTTGGTAGCGGTCCGGAAACTCCAAGTACGTGATAAGAGAGCTCGGTTTGCTTGTGCATCAGCTTTATTAGGAGGTAATGTTTGTGTGTGTGCACCTCTTGTCCAGGCCCCATTTAGCCCGTCATGTAAATGCAGTTTTAACGAACCTTCTTTAAATTCATTTTTTCACATTCTTCTAAAGGCATTAACAACATATCTTTTTTAAAGAACTTTTAATCTAAAAACAAGAGTCAAGGTTATCTTAATTGTCCCTCTTGGGGAAATTCTGCAGCAAGAGTTCATGGATTAAAATAACACCAGCAGCAACGACGGCAAAGAAACGTTCAGGAAAAGGAAATAAAACATTTTGATTACAGAACCCATATTATGCCTTTTTCATCAAATTAATAAAAGTCTCCCCAGAATGCGTCTTTCGCATGTTTCAGCTCAAAATACTGCAAAGATGATTGATTTCACCATGAATGTGTGACCTCTGGTTTTGGTCCTGTTCTACATGGGCCCCCTTCAGGAAGAAGACTCTGTGTGTGTCTGTGATTGACAACATGGAGCAAAACAGTCGACCACCTGGCAGCTATTATTTAACATGGAAATATTGCTGAATGCACACTTCAGCGATTGTTTTTATGTTGACGACAAAGATGATATTGTAGTTCAGCAGCTTGGAAATGCCTATGAAGTGATTTCTTGTTACCATTAGAAAGTAACTAGCTTCAGTAACTGTTTCGTACTTGTAAAAATAAGTGAACGACAACAGCCTGGTTGACCAGACTCCTCCCAGAGATCATACCGGCCACTCAAACTAGCTGTTTTTATTTTACATCTTGAAGTTTTTAAGACATAAAAACCACTAACAAACCTTTAAGCTTTCCAATAGCAGCAGGGATAAAAGATGCATGCAGTGTTTCAAGAGGTGCCTTAATACGATGGCCTGAAGGCAAGAGCTTAAACTCCCTGTTGGGTGGATGATCCTGGCAGCTCAATGTGGCATTAGCCCTCCAAACAGCGCCCCTAGTGGTTGACCAGACTCCTCCCAGAGATCATACCGGCCACTCAAACAAGACTTCCAAGTCTTTTCCCGTCAGACAGCATCAGGTTTCCAAACCAAGCAGCAATATAAAAGTTTTGCTTGTTCGGTTCCATAAATGAAAAAAAAAACCTCCTTTAAATGGGATTCTCTTGTGTGTGTGCGGCGTAAATGAATGAGTTGAACCGGTTCGAGGAGGAGATGCTGTAAATGACGTCGTCGAGTTCACCTCGAAAACCATCATGTTTACTCAGAGGAAGTGCGAACACACCCACACACACACATGCGTCGCCTCATCCCGCCTTCGCCAGCAACAGGAACATTCACTCACAAACACCGACCGACGTACAGACGCCAAACATCAGCAGCTCCGTCTCCACAGAGCTCCTCTTGTGTCGTTGAGATGTTTGCGTGCAGTGTGAAATGGCAGAATCTTCCACGAGGTCTCCTGCTGACCAGAATTAGTCATAAATATCCCGTTGACTTCATCACATGAGGATCAGATGAGTCCGTGCAGATAGAAATAAAGAAGTGTCATGTGAGGCCACCTGCTGCAGGAAGGTTAACCTGCATCGTGGCACGACGTTAATCTACCAAAATAAAATGCATCATGTAAAGCATTAGTATTAAAATGTATGTAAATATGTGCATATTTTTATTGTGTATTTTTCATACAACGATCTGCCTGAGGCGATAAGGTTCGCTGAATCAGCAATTTTCTTTTGAATCACTTCTAAAAAAAACAATTTTTATCGGCTTGCTTTTATGCTGTGTCGTTAATTTATGTTTTCATTTTATTTTTCGTTTTTTCTTATTGTTTTTTCCTATTTTTATCATCTTAATATTTTTTTTACTTTATTTTTTTGTTCATTTTATTCTCTTTTATATTATATATTCTGTTATTATATATGTCTGTTTTATATTTATATATCTTAATATTTTTTTAATTTATTTTTTGGTCATTTTATTCTCTTTTACATTTTATTTATTTACTTATGCATTTATTTACTATTGCTAATATTGGTATCATTTTTAGACTTGTGTTTATAGTTTTAACCTCTAGTTTCTTTTATTCTTTTATTTTATTTCCTTGTTTTTTCCCTATTATTTTATCTGGTGTTGTTGAACTAATTTCATTATTATTTTTTATATATTTATCTTTTTGATGCTTTTACCCAAACTGTGGTGATAATGGTCAACAAGAGAACCTTCAGCAAACTAATCCTCCTGAATTAGGGAAAAATAGCCAAAGAATGATGGTGTGGATTTTTGGAAAATAGACTTTTCATCTCAGCACATGTGTTGAGCACCGAGTAGAGTAAACAGAGACATCTTCACATACAGGAATGAGTCTGATTTGAGTATTATTGCTGGGAGAAACCTTGAACCTCATGCTGGAGGTTCATGGAAGCTTGTTGCTGGTCTCCACGCAAGTCAGGAGATGTTTTTGGATTGTTGTCAACTCGGCCTTTGACTCTTAGAGAGCAGTGAAGACGTAGGAGGAAGGGTTCATGTGGAGGAAACGAGCTGAACACACACCGTGACTGTGACACGCTGACCTTTGGCTGCGTTGTGTCGTCCACAGGGGCATCCCGGGGAAGAAGTGCGGGACGGTGATCGTGAAGGCCGAGGAGCTGAACAACTGCAGGGTGAGTGTGATGAAATGAGTAGAAGACATCTTTACTACATGTTCCAAGCTGCACGGATAAAACGTTAAAACGTCGTCACCATAGACATGAACTACAGACAGGAGCTGTGCTTTGAATATGATGATAGTTTCACAGAATTCAAAGCTACGACCAAAGTCAGTCCACGTTGAACTTTGTTTCATATGCAGACCAAACTGTTTTGCAGCAGCTCTGTTCGATCTGAAGCTAAAGACACAGAATCCATCTGTTTAGCAAACAGCTAAAACCAGAGCTATTATAATAATAATACTCATTATAGAGTTAACTGTGCTGCACTTTGCTCATCTCAAGTTTTTTTTATACCATATACGATGTAAACTTGCGCATTGTCCACAAACTAATTTGCACATTCATGTAAAATATAAATATTTCAATTACTTTTTATTACTGATTTACTCACTAGCATCTCTATATTATCAGCTCTGATGCACCAAATCACTACATCAGATTCCCTAAGAGTGAAACCTACTTGTCAATAAAACTGATTCTCATTCTGACTCTAATTTTGAGCTGAAAATGTTTTTTCATTTTTGGAACATGTGAGATTAAGTTGTTAAAAAAAAACTGATGTATTATGTGCGTCCTTTAGGGGTTTCATTGGACTTCTTTCAGAGCTGCATAAAACGCTCTTGTTTGATTTGAATCCTACAGTTTTCCTCTTTATCATGTAAAGTTCTTGGAGGAACATCGATCATTTAGATCAATCGACTAGTTGGTCAAACAGTGAGTAGAAAAGCCATCATAAGTTGCAGCTCTACAGCATAACTCTTACTCTACTGTTTTCATCACTGATGATCCACTGATATGTGGATAAAATCTTAGATATAAAAGCTGCTGAAAAACCACCAACAACAAGGTATCAGCTAAATAAATCATCTGTCAGTCCGCTAGATTTGTAAACCCACTTCCATTTGAAATGCATTTTGATTAAACAAATTGTCAGCAAACAATTTACAACTTATGCACTATTGATTTTATGTAATATAGCTTTAATGCACATCAAAAACAGCTGCTTGCTAAATGGAAAAAGAATCGTTCTTTTTTTTTTTTACTTGCACCAATGAAGTTGTGCAGTTTTGAAGTATTTTGTCTAGTGTCAGTTATCGCAAATTTTCTCATTTATATCGTGATAAATATTTGTGATCATATCAACCTGCCCTACCTGGTGGTATGTTTTTATACTTATGTGGATAACTGGTGCGATTTGCACATTGTGACATTACTCTGATAAACATGGCCTCTACAGCAGGGTATATTTGGATTCCCCAACGCCACCAAAACAAAGTGAAAGCTCGTCAGGCGATGCAAAAACTTAACTGAAATCAATAAATAATACTGTTAGTTAAATAATTAAAATAAACCCCAACTTAGCGCCCTAAAAAACAAGAAAAATCTTTTGTATTTCTTCCTCAACTTGCATTCGATTAGTGTTAAACTCACTCTCTCGTGTTTGCATTTCACCGGCTCTATATTTTTTTTGTCATCTGTCATCTCTGCTGTCCCGTTTTTTTTTTTTGGGCTCCAGCGTTCGTCTGTTCACTTCTGGGCCTCGACAGCATTCTCCTATAAGTCATCAATAATGAAGAAGAAGAAAGACGGCTTTTGGATTCAGTCTGTCCTCATCAAATAGAAAACGACTTCTTGCTCAACTGCTTTGCAATCGCGTTCGATAGTGAGACACTGGAGAGCAGATACAGCTTCCCCCAGTCGACCAGAGGTCATTTGTTAAAAGCAAAACCTCCAGATGAGATCATATCCTGGATATTCCTGAGCGTCTATAAAATAATGTGACTGAAAATCTGCACGTTTTGTGTCTTCGGAGAATCACAAAGCACAAAAATCCTCAGAGCACCCTCTCCATACGTATTTAATATCGTTTTCTTTGTGTCTTCTTCTTCCTCATTAGGAATCGGTGATGATGCAATTCTGCGGAAACAAGCTGGACAAGAAGGACTTCTTCGGCAAGTCCGACCCCTTCCTGGTCTTCTACCGGAGCAACGAGGACGGCACGTGAGTTCCCCCCCTCCTCCCCTCGACTCGCACCCTTTCATGTTTGGTTTTTAATCCTTCCCTGCAATCCGAAAGGAAATTGGTTTCATTGATTTGCCTCAGATCAAAAGCAGCGGTGCCTGTTTAAACGAGCGACGTGTGGAGATGTGTGAAGGAGGAGAATGTGCAGCGCTGTAGATTTTCTATATATTTATGTGTGTGTGCGTGAGTTCGATCCAGCTCTGCGGGCCTCCGTCCTGCTGTGTGCTACAAGTCAGATAAGACCTCGTGCTCTGAGGGCGGAAGATAGTCCGCCTGCTAGCCGAGGGACTAATGAAATTACCCCTTTAGTGTGTGTGTGCAGGTTAGGGCAGCCCTGCAGCTTCCACTTCCACTCAGCAAAAAGTCGCTTTAATTGCATTTCTTTTCAAATTCCTCCTCGCTTTTCTTCTTCTTTTTTTGATTCCCCCTTTTCTCGCCCCTGCAGGTTCACCATCTGCCACAAGACCGAGGTGGTGAAGAACACGTTGAACCCCGTGTGGCAGGCCTTCAAGATCCCCGTCCGGGCCCTTTGCAACGGCGACTACGACAGGTGAGCCCGCCTCGAACGCAGCACGGACGCCGAGAGCAGCCGTCTGAATCATCCGGCGGAGTTATTTTCAGTGTCAAGCATATTGGAAAAAGTCAGACGAGGTAACGTCTGACGAATGTTCCCGCGGCGTCTAATGGCCTCGTCTGGCTGCACAGGAACTAAAGAGCATCGTCTCATCTACAACAATATCATATATATGAGTCAGTTATATGCATTGCAATGTTCTTAGTGGAAAAGAGACATTTCCAGGTGTGATTCATCCAACAATGAGCTTCACATGCCAGAAAAAAAAGGGAAAAAAGTTTCTTCCTTTATGCCTTTTGATGCATCGTGGAAGGTCATAATGAAAAATGTGAAGAACGTGTGATGTTGCAGTCTCTACCTGTACCGTATACTCTATTAATTCCTTATATTTCAATGGTGGCGCGGTTCCTCCAGCAGCATCGTGGTTCCACTTCTGACTAATAAGCAGCTTTATCTCGATGATGCATGCAGATCTGTGCGTCACTGTGTTTTTGTTGGGTTTTTTTTTTTTTGGCAGGTAACACTATTTTTCTGGCGGTTTACTTTATATTTAGAGCACTGAAGTGAATACATAAGTAGCAGACGGCTACTAATCCTCTTGTCGGCTTAAAGTGAAGCAAAAAGCCGACGTATTCCGTCATCGTCAGCCTCCAGGTTTAATTTTGGTGCGACAGTGACAACAAGTATCATCCAACAACCCTAATACACTCCCTCGATGTTTAATATGATCACAGATGTTGATTTTTGTAGGAATGTGGTACGTGATGGTTTGGCTTTTCTGTGCGTCACTAAGGTGAACAGCTGACAACAATCTGTAATCGACTGGACGCGAGAATCCATCAAATAACGTCCCAAATGTGAAGATGTTTAGGACAGGAAAACAATGGCAGCCCTCTGAACTTCAGTTTCTCGGCAGTTTTCACTCCCTGTGAGCTCATTTTTAATTGCGATATGAAGTTCTGACTCTCGATGGAAACACCATGACTAGAGAACTTAAAAATGTCTTTTGTGCAGTTTGACACAGTTACAATGCTGTAAATTACGAAAAACGAGAGGAAAAGTTGGATTTCTTTAATTGTTTATTTGCAAAAAACTTAAAAGTTGTTGTCAATACTAAGAAAAAAATGGTAAATGTAGATATTTTGCTACTTATATTTTAATTTTCTTCCATATTTGTCTCCTCTCTGCCTGCAGTTCAGCCAAAAGTCCCTGAATTTTTGTCACTCTTTGTAGAAGCCAATAATGTAACAACGGCCGGTAACGTAATAAATTTAAAAATGTAATAGGCCAATAACGTAATGAAAGTCCTGAACTGATAATGTAATATCTTTTGGCCAATAACATAATAAGTTATTACGTTATTAGCCTGGTGGAAAAAAAAATCTTTGCAAATGTAATAACCAGTCAATAACGTAATAAGTTATTACGTTATTGGTTCAGACATTTATTACGTTACTGGCCATCTATTACATTATTAGCCTTTTACATTTTAAAAAGTGCAAATTTATTACGTTGTCGGCCGTTGTTTTGTTATCGGCCATTATTTCGTTATTGGTCATTATTACGTTATTGACCTATTACATTTTAAAATGTGCAAATTTATTACGTTATCGGCCGGTTACTACGTTATCAGCGGTTGTTGTGTTATTGGCCGTTATAACGTTATTGGCCATCATTACGTTATCGGCCATTATCACGTTCTTGTCTTCTACATGCTTCGATAGATTTCTGAGTTCTCTACTTGTTGCTATGTTTGAGCTGTTTCCATTGAAGTGCAGGGCTTTGTATTGGAGTGAAAAATGAGCCCACAGTGAGTCAAAATGCGACAGGCGGACAAGAAACACCCAGAAACTGGTTGGAGATCAAAAGGTTAAAAACTCTTTGGGTTACACAAGCTATGAATTGAAATTAATTAATTGAAATGGGACCAGCTCAGCACAGTGTGTCCGTTTAAACAGCACCAAATGCAGTGGTTGGACCAAAAAATACTGTGTTTCCTCAAAATACACTCGGTTTAACATTTAAATAAGAACTTTTCAGTTTTTAAAAATTCTTTTGCGTGTCTGAAAGTCCTCACACCTGGTGTACTCTGTGTATCAGGAGAACAAATGAGCAGATAGAAGCCTCTCTTGTGTCGACCGTGTGTGTGTGTGTCCATCGATAAGAAGCCGTGTGTTGAAAAAGGGCAGAAAGAAGCACACGACGGGGGTTTAGCGTGGCCGAGCTAACAGACGGCGGCATTGATCTGAAGTTTGCTCCAATAAGCCGATCGGAGAGGAGTTGAGTCGTCTTATCAATGGGCGACTCGGGAAGCCGGCGGTGGACTGAACACGCCGTCCGCAAACACATCCGGCCTGTATCTCTGAGATAAGGGCGAGCTGGGAGCCGGCAAACAATGAAAACGAGTGTTTCTGCTCGTAGGTGCAGCCGCCGTGCTTCTGCTCACACATGAGGCAAAAAAAAAAAAAAAGATTAACAAGCGAAATCGGCGCCAGTTTCATGTCACATCATCAAAGCCGCGAGTGATGTTTCCAGCTGAGACGTGGCGGCTTAATAAGACGCCTTTTTAAACGCATGAAAGTTGCAGCTTTTTTCTCCCCTCCACCGCACCAACCAGGAGTCGCATTCATCCCCAGAGTGGCCGTAATTATCCTCCAGCCCCCCTTTTTCCTGCTTCTTACCTTTATGGCCTCCCTTTCCCTGTAATGTGCATCCGAGCAGCTCCGAGGCCCGTTAATTGTGTTTCCACCCTCCTCGCGTCGGAGGATGAAGCAGATGGGGAAGTGCAGTTTTTCGCTCTGATTTTAAATTAGATACCACTTAGAAGCTCTTCGAAGTTGAACGTTCGGAGCGAGTTCATGCAAAATTCATGACACACTGTTGACTGGTCGCATACTTTGAGATTCCTCCAGATTCGATCCGGCTGAACGTTCTGCTGTCAGAATCACAGACTTGATTCCTTGGGCTTGAAACTTTAGATTAAGTAGTCAAGAAAAGCTGATTATGTGATGTTTGAAATGACCAAAAACGATGCTTGTGTGCAAAAAAAAATTCAAAAATTCTGTTATTATTTTATCATGTATGGTTTTTTTTAGAAGATTTCACCTTCAAGCATCTTTTCCAATAACTGTATGAATTCAATACGTTTAATAGGTAACAGTTTAGTCTTCAAAATGGGGACCAAAAATAAATAATACACCGATATTATTTAAAATAAAAAGGATTTCTTTCTATATTTTGGAGAACCATAATGAAACTCTATAACTGCATTCTACTTGGAGCAATATTTTTGCTTTTGTGGTACAAAACAGTCAAAGAAACCAACTTTCTTCTGACCTTATGACCAAATATTTATCATTTAAAGGTGTTCTATATGTTTAATTTGTTTTATCGAGACGTACGGCTACACATGGTTCAGAAAGTGTCACTACTTGGCTTCTGAATTGTCTTTTTTTAAAGTAATGTGAGCTTAAAGATGGGATTTTCCTTGATATCTTTGATTTTTTTCCCCCCATTCTTCAACTCACACATAATCAGAGACAGTTTGAGCTGCTTCTACACTATTGCAGATTCCAAATCAACGATATGATGAGAATAAACTGTGAACATTTCAGGCTTTTATCTTAAACAGTTCCTGAGATATTGTCATTCAAACGTCGTCCCAAATTTCAATATGTGAAGAAAAAAATGGGTCGACGAGCAATTTCTTTATCAAATCTCTTTTGGAAAGTATTTGATATATTAAGCTGAAAGTCTACAAATACGGGTATAAATATTGATATTTTAGGCTCTAAAATTTTCGGCCAAATCGGAGACGACTGAGGAGAGAACCGTGTGAAAAAATCTGAGATGGAATGAGATGGTTTTTGTCACAGGATCCTTTTCTTTGCTTTCTCCTCTGTCCTCTCCAGCAGAGGCGCCTTTTACTGTCTCTGTTTTAATTTGATGTTTGTTCTATTATCTTTTTTTTTTTGCCTCTCCCCTCTCCTCTCCTTCGTATCGCTGTCTTGTCAGAGAGAAATGACCCTTCTGTAGGAGATATTGGTAGATTGCGATACTGCGGCGTATCTGCCTCTCGCAGGCTATTCATGCTTTTTATTATTTATTTTTCCACCCCGTGGGCTATAATGGGTCGCAGGAATAGATGTATTTGGAGATGAGGAGAGCACATTACTGCAGGCAAATACATCCAGAGACAGAGAGAGTGTTGGAATAAAGATAAGCTGCAGAATGAATCTGCTTCTTCTAAAAAGCTCCATGACAACGTCGAGCAAAGACATTAGCATTCTCCTGACGTGTTGGACACAACATCTGTGCATGTTTTACGACTTTACAACGTTGCCTTTCACCTTTTAAATATGGTGCGACTACGCATGAAAACAAATATAGAGGCTCAACGTTCATCAGTTAACGAAATAAAATGTATTCATGTTTTTATGATGTGTGCCTCTCTTTGCAGAACGATCAAGGTTGAAGTGTACGACTGGGACAGAGACGGCAGGTAAATCCTCTTCTCTTCTTTTTGTCATTTTTGTAAATCAGTTGTCGCCTTTTCAATTACAGGCTGCAAAAATACAACCTTAATAAGGCCGCCGCTAATGGCAGTTATTCTATAAATTAATCATTTGGCTATTTTACAGATGAGTTGATAAATATAAATAATACATTTCTCTCCCAACAAGCAAAATGACCATTTCATTAAAGTTCATTTTCATCTTGCCAAACTATATGTCACTGTATAATGCAGTACCTAATTAAGTTAACATATTGTCGTTATACAACAAATCCAACAAAAATAAAGAAGAAAACTGAGCTCATCATTTACGTTGGTCAAAAGAAGTCCAACTGAAAAAGTTTCTTTATGTTAAACAAACTGCGACGTGGACATGATGGATAATTTACAAGCACTTGTGTCATAAACTAAAGTTAAAAACAATCAAGTACAACCATTAAAAATATTGAGGTTGATGCATTTTTACCATCGACGTCATTGATTATGCCGACTAATCGCAGCAGCTCTGAATCTTAATCATTTCTTAGTTTAGTTAGCTGTTTAAACTGTATAATATTTTCATTCAGTAACAGCTACAAAGCTACAAGGTCAATAAAAACAGCCTTTGAATATATGGATAAGAGAAACGTGGGAGAACTTTGAAATGCAATAAGTCTCCTTGTTTTGGCCAGAGTAAGAAAAACTGAAAGTTTTACTTACAAATTCTAATCAAAACAGGAAGTTAGAGAGTAAATACAACATTTTCGCAGGGAGTCCACCACTTTCACATTTTTGAACCTGTTCTTAAACTTCTCAACTGCAACTCTACCAAGTGGCCATGCTCAGCAACCTTTGCTGTAATTCTATAACACACGCAATTCTATCACACACTTACTAAATACTATAGCACTTTTCAAGACACTCAAAGACGCTTAACTGCTCCACAAACGATGTGGCAGATCCTGTCAGCCCCATGCCGACTGTTTAGAAACCATGAAAAGAGTCAGAATTGTTGGGTTTTTTCTTCACTGACTTTGAAATGTAATCAAATTCTTAAAAAATATTCTGCATGTCTCATTTAAAATTTTGCTCAAAAAGGATGACAAAGAAAACAAAAATTCTACCATAAAACCAGCCGTGACTCAACTGTGACCAACAAATTCAGGGAGTGCTCAGTTGAACTGCAAGAAGTGTTCACACAGAGCAAATGCAAGACAAGTATGAAGACAAGAAACGTATATAAGTAGCAATTTACCGACAACACAGACAGAGTAATTTTGAGTTCTCTCTACTTCTAGTCATGGTTGTGTTGTTTCCATAGAGGTGCAGGTCTTTATTATGAGTAAGAATGTGCCAGAAGTAAAAACGCCCAGAAACTGCTTAGGGCTTAAAGGATCAATTGAATGCAAACTTTTAGAATTTATTATATGAACTTTCTAAACGAACAACATTCTCGTAAGAGCTGCACAGAAACAAAGAGAACTATCTACGAGAGTTACCAAACCTGATACAGGGTATTTATGTTATTTTTTGATACCAGCTCTGCAAGTGTCGACACTCAAAACAAGATTGACGCTATTGGTATTAAAATCCACTTTATTCGCCAATACAGAGAAAAAGCACAGTGTCATCGGGCAAGAACTTTATAAAAGCTGCATTTTTGTTGTTTAAGTTTCGATTTTTGCATAAAATATCAAATTATTGTTTAAATCCTCATTATATTACACAGGAAACCACCTTTACTCATCAGTTTGGCTCCTGATGAACCGTTAAACTTTATTATTTATTCAAGTGAGCTCTCTGGATCAGATTTTCATTGTCGAACCTGCAGTAATATCCCTTTGCCCTGTTGTTGTTGATCATGAGCACTCGGGCTTATTGTACTTATATTGATCTGATATGACAACCTCAAGGCGAGTCATCCCTGATAAATACACCCAGACGCATTTCCTTAATACTTCTAGCCTTGATTACATTACCATTGGGCCTGCCAGCTTCCTGCGGTAATCTAATCTACGTCACGTAATTAACACCAGTCTGTGTTTTCAGTAGGTAAGAGAGCCGCCTCGTCACGGATTGACTGCTTAATGATGAGTCTGGATTCTGGCTGCTGACAGAAAGAAAAGAAAAAAAAAAAAGGAGTGACACTCGTCAAGCTCTCATTTCTCTATTCTTTACACTTTTCATGGACTCTATTCAGTGTCACTCACCATCTGAGGGGATCGCAGTGCCGTTTGGGGACAGAAATGCTCACAATTATAACAAACTGTTTGGGTGAATTGTGAATTCGTGTTACCGGTTTCCATTTCCGTGAAACTGTCTGGTGCTTTAATACTCACTAACAGCAAACCGCATCCTGTCAGTTTGATCATTTGTCTCTTCTGGGACATGATTTCGATTTGCCTTGAAAACTAACAACACTCAATGAGAGCTAATAAAAAAGTAACGTCTCTTTAGAAATTGCTATTTTAATTTTTTCTCTCTCTCGTCTTCCCTCGCTGCAGTCATGACTTTATCGGAGAGTTTAGCACCAGCTACAGAGAATTATCCAGAGGACAGAGCCAGTTCAACGTCTACGAGGTGAGTCTGAGCCATTTAATATTTAGCATCTGCTGATTCCTGATACCATTTTCCGAGATAATACACACCAGAACTAATGTAGAGTGGTTGCAGTACCTGTTTGCGCCATCAGGTGGAGCCTCTGTAGCCGCCCGAGGAGGTGGGCAGTTCAATGTCAGCAAGCAGAGAGCATTGTGGGAGTTTCATAAGTAAAGGAGCACCAGCACAAAGATTTCTATGAGGATTTTACAGCTTAGTGGTAAATTATTCACACTTCTTTTTTTATGTGTTTGTGTGACAATAGACGTAAACAAAGAATTCGGCATAACCAATCGGTTTAAAGCTCTTATGATCAATCCAGTTCTGATTTTAGGGTCAGGCTTGGGACATCCAAAGTACAGGTGTTCAATTCAAAAGAAAATCTCCAATCCAGATAGACTGGCTGTCACTCACAGTCGCAAAGGAAGGGTCTCACATGCACTAATGTCCACCAACACACATCAGCGTGCATGCCAGCAAAATACAACATAGCATGGAGAAATAATTTAACCAGTCTGGAAAACTTTGGAGAAACATTTGTATTTAATCTATCGTGTAATTTAAACATATGAGGTGTGTCAGGAATGTTTGAGGACTGGTGTCACAGAAGATATATTTCAAATCCAAACTACAACTTTTCCCCCTTCGAAGTAATCCCCCTGGAGTCTAAACCACTTTCCCAGCCTTCTCTGCCACGCCGCCATGCACTCCTAAAGGATTCTCCTCAGCTCCATCATCACAGCCATCTTGCCGTCTTCAAAACGGGTCCTCTTGATGACCCCCTTGAGCTTGGGGAAGATGAACAAATCCCACGGAGCCAGGTGGGGTGAGTAGGGAGGTTGCTCCAGCACGGCGATGTTCTTCTCAGCCAGGAACTGTGGGACGCTCAGGGCATTGTGAGCAGGCATGAAGCAGCCACCACTTGTCCTGCCACAACTCTCACCTCTTCTGAATGAAGCAAACATCACAGGATCTCTTTGTAGACGTGCTGGTTGATGGTCTGAAGGGGAAAACTCGTAGTTTGTAGTTTGGGTTTGAAACATATCTTTTGTGACGCCAGTCCTGGAACTTTTCTTGTAATCACAGCGACAGATCCTCTCTAATCTGTCTGTTTTGGTGAATGACACACAGCGACGCTGACAGACGCTGTCAAATGTTTGATTTGACGCCGACCAAAATTAAAATTTCATGCAGCTTTGGCATCTCCTTCCAAAGAAAACAGCAGAAATTCCTTCCACTCGGCTTCTCTTCCAGCGTCTCGTTCACACGCTCGCTCGCTGACAGTTATGATGGATCGCTGGCTTATCTTCTCCCAGGAAGAGTCAACACGTCTTGATTAACAGAGGACTGTACGGAGAGCGGCGCACACGGGGGACTGCCACTTTAAACAGCTGCTGTTTGTCTAATAGACCTCACACACGAAAGCGCACACACAAAGTCATTTAGCCTTTTCTGGCCCGTTCCTTGACCTCCGCTTTCGCTCAACGTGAACGCGACAGTTAGAGACAATGACTTTGCTAAACGCGCTCCGTGTTTGCATTACAACCACATTTCAACTCACCTCCAAATGCGTCCTTGTTGGGGCCTAAAGTGAACCAAGGAGAAACGCATAAATCCACACATTTGTATGTTGTTTCCCCCCCGAGGCCCCCCATTCGGTTTAACCTTGACACAGTTTAATTGGACCATAAACCTCCGATATGAAAGCACAGATCCATTGTTTGGGATTCAAAGTGAGGTCTGCTTCTGTTTGGTTCCTGCATCATTAGGTGCCGTTGTAGGTTTTAGTAGGCGGTGAAATGAGGCTTTAATCTGTCTCTGTACAGTAATAAAGATTTAGATGCACAGGAATCCGGATTCTGCAAAGAGTCTGTCCTGTTACATATTCATAAAGTCACACCACTCGGTTTAGAGTCGTCCTCCAACTCTGGATTTAGCTGCGTCTCTGGATATGTGTTGCTCAAAGGCGAGTTTATGGTGGTTGTCGGTTTAGGGATGACGAAGAGTGGGAGCGAGGGAGGGAGGTGTACAAACTGTGCCACCAGTGACCTCAGTTTTTGGAATATTACTCAAGAAAAGTATAAAAAGACAACCTTGTTGGCAGATTTAGACGCCCAAAATAGTGTTAAATTACACAGTGTTTTGACATTGTCTATTCGTACACCAACATTCAGTAATTCAAACATTTTGCAGCTGTATTTTTATACCAGCGTTGCATCACATGGTTGTAAAAGTGCTCACTCTGGGGATGCAGGGAGTTATCAGCCACCGCAGCTCCTCTGTGGAGCTTTATCAGGGTCATTGTTGGCTGCAGCAGGCAGACGGACGAAGTTAAAGACAAGCTGGACGACATTTATTTAGCAGACAAAGATCCAGGCAGCTCCCTGAGGAGGTGGTGGAGACCAAAACTGAGCTAAAACAAGAGCGACTGCTGGACCTGTATTCACTAGGCGCACAGTAAAGAAGAACTGTTAGAACAAAACGTGTTTCCTAGTCTTCAATTTAGGTGCATTTTTTATTTTATTTTTACATGTACAGAAAAAATAAATTCACCTATCATATCGAATGAAAAGAATAACAAGGAGGCGTCTCTCCTTTAACAAACAAATGTATGCAAATGACAGAAGCAGTGCTTCATTTTCTGTTAATTATTACTGTTTATATCTTATTTTAAAACCATATTTACAGATTTTAACTTAAAGTTTCACACAATAAATTAAAGGGAAATATTTGTGAAATGACAACAAATTTGCGACTCTTATTTTCTTGTGTCAAACGATTTTTGTTTTCTTTTTTTTTAAAATATATATAGTTATTCAGAGTTTCATGTTTGTATTTATTTTAAAAATATATTATATGTTATTTATTCATTGCCTATTTTTTTCCTGATTTTTTTTATGTATTTCAAAAATATGAAAACAATCTGGAAAAGCAAAAGCAGAAACTTTGTATTTTTTTTATTTTGTTAGCAGTGTGACCAGCGGCATGATTCCAAAACAATCATTTATGTTGCTGTGTACTGGCTGCATGTGTAAATGCAAATGTGTAGAATGCAACAATAATAATTTTTGCATTTACAGCTTGTTTCTTCCACCCTGAAGTAGCTGAAAAATCAGTTACTGCAAGTTTTGCAATACAGCTCGTGGCAGTTCTGCCTTATTGAATACAAAAGACAGATAGAAATGGTTCATGAATGAATAAACTGATGTTGAAGTGACAAGAAGCAATCTGGTCTTTTTCAGGTGGTAAATCCAAAGAAGAAAGGGAAGAAGAAAAAATACCTCAACTCTGGAACGGTGAGACGTCAATCCTGATGCACTCTTCTTCATCTTCTTCGTCTTAACCCTCTGAACCCCAAGGGCTTTGGTTTTTTTTTTTGCTCCTGTCACATTTTTCCTTACATTCTTCCCTGCATCTCTATGGAAACAACACAACCATGACTAGAAGTACAGAGAACTCAACAATGTCTTTTATCCGGTACAACAAAGTTAAATGGCCATAAATCCGAAAAAAGAAGAAACAAAAGTTGAGTTGCTTTGATTATTTATTTGAAATGAAATATGAGGATTTTAATCTTAAGTTTTCTGATGGAACCGCAGATGAGTAGTTCAAGGACCATCAGAAAGTTGAAAACCAGATGAATCCTTCTGTTGCTACAGTTGCTTCTGATAAATGGTGCCATTTGTAAAAGATACCGTCCCTTTCCCACCGGTCTGCAGGTTTGGGCGTTCAGAGGGTTAAAACACACAACTGAACTGGTCTTTGTTGACACCTTACCACAAAGAATAAGTGCGTTTGTCCCATTAGCGGCTGACTGCTGCCCTCTCACTCACAGGTGACGCTGCTGTCCTTCCTGGTGGACATCGAAGTCACCTTCCTGGACTACATCAAAGGCGGGTAGGTCAACGAGCGGGCGTCCACCGAGCCCACGCTGGGAGACGTTGCGCTTTAATGAGAATTGACATGCCGGTCGCCGTCCCCGTGATAACCCCATCACCGCTCGGCGTCTGCAATGTGCCAAAGATAATGATCCCTCAGTGTGAGCGAATCAGACGGGGGAGAAAGGGAAAGAAAAAAAAAGTGTACATTTGCATGTGAGAGGAGGAAAGTGAAGGGATGGAGAGAGACTGACAGATGGGCTGACCTGAAGTCAAGTACACAGGGTTCAGACTCGCTAGTGTGTGTGTGTGTGTGTGTGTGTGTGTGTGTGTGTGTGTGTGTGTGATGTGGCATTGTGTTTAAGCGCTGGTCCGAGCTTTGTGCCGTCGCGTTCGCATGTTGCTCGGGAGGGTTGACCGTGCGCGTCCAGGCGTGGCGTAAACGTTCGCCTACACACTCTGCCTTCATTAGACTCACAGAGGGGGAGACTGTCAAGGGAGAGAAAAGACTGTGTGTGTGTGTGTGTGTGTGTGTGTGTGTGTGTGTGTGTGTGTGCATGTGTGCATGCAACTTCTGAAAAATATGTGTCCATGTGTTCCTGCTGCCCTTGTAGCTGGGTTTTATTTTGGTGTTGTGGCTTTTAAAGAGGAAAACTGCTTCTTTTTCTACAAGAAAGTTTCTTGAAAAGTTTTGGATTCTGAAGAAACAAAGAAAAGAACACAATGTATGTTCCAGCTAGATTCTGATGCTTATTTCAGGAGGAATTTAAAGGACGTGCGAGGCCCTGAAAAGAAAGGTGTAAATAGTTTGAGCTAATGAGAAGACTATTCAAAAAGCGACGCACAAAATC